AAAAAAAAAAAAAGAAATTGTATCCGTAAAATAAATGCTATGAAGAAAATTTAAGACATGATATGATAGTTGGGGGACTACTTTAAACAGAGTGGTCAAGGAAGGCCCCTCTGAAGAGATGTCAATTACAAAGATAACTGAATGACTAAAAAAAGAACCAGCTATTGTGAACCCGAGAAGAACATTACAGCCAGAGATAACAGCAAACAACAAATCTCTATACATTAGAGGAATAGAAAGTAGGCCAATATGGCAAAAAATGTAGGACCGCCAGGCAGTGTGCTTTGACATGTATTTTCTCACTTATTCCTCCCTACGGTGATATGAGATAATAATATTGCCCATCTCCTATTTTATAGTTAAGGAAACTGAAGGTTAGAGAGGTTGGGTGCCTTACCCAAAGTCACAAGGTTCACAAGTGGAAGAGCCCTCCTATACCGTGATCTGGAGCAGGAGCGACATGATGCTATTTAAATAGGAAAACCCCGAGGATGTGAAGGGCTTGATTGGCTTTCACCACTCAATAACACTTCAGGTATTCAACTAAGTCTTATAACTTTCTGGATTTTGAACTTATTCCTCAATTCTTTTTGTCTAGATAAATTCTTCTGAATGTAGATCATCTTTAAATATTAACACCTGAGCTTATAAAATATTAAGCTGCTTTGTTTACACAGAGTTTATACAAGTCTGCTTTCAATTCTAAAAGATCCTAATGCTATAAGCCTTAACATAAGTTCTTACGAGGTCCAATACCAGTGAGACATTAAAAAGAGTAAATATTTTATTAACTGTTAATTGAAGAAATATAATAATTCATCAAAAACAACAAAGTACTAACTCCAATTTTCAACTTTGCACTACACCCAAGGATAACTTTCACATGGTGTGTTTACATCAGCAAATGGTTTTAAGTGCATTACAGAGTTCAAATGAAGTGAATTGCTGAATAAAGTCATATGGTTTAATAACATAAATCAGCATTTCCCAAACTGGTGTTCCTTAGAACCCATTCCAAGAGTTGTTTTGTGGGTAAAACAAGAGTTCTGTGGTTAATAAGTGGTGAGAAACTATGAGTTCAATACTCCTCATTATTGTTTTACTTTACTGAAGGCCTACTCAGGGTCTTTAATATGCTAATGTATACTGTCTGCTTCCAAGGGGGAATATGTATGAAGCATTACCCTTAGTTTGCATTAGATGCTTTGGGACACATTTAATATATCCTTTAATAAAGTTCCCAAGGAAAGACTGATAAATTTCAATATGCAAATGTGACATTTTATATAATCTTTCAAAATAAAGACTAAAGCAACAGAGTAAAGTTTTTCTAGTGTCAGTAGCATTAAGAGAAGAATAAGATTTATATTAAGCATTATGACATTAACTACATAAACTAAGTACATAGAACAGTAAACAAAGAATGTATATATACTTACCCGATCTCTAATTTGGGAAGTAAGGTTTTCCATGTCTCCAGTAAAGTGTTTAAGCCTTTGTTTGTAAATTTTAGATGCCTTTTTTAGAGCTATAGTTTTTTGCCTACTTGATTCTTTCATTGCTACAGCTTCATGCTTATTCTTTCTCAGTTCTAAGTTCCATTCAGTTATCTTGGTTTCTAAGCTCTAAAAAATATATATATTAGTAATATTTAAATTATTTTGGAACTCGATCTTTATGTAACATTATAAACATATATAATCTTCCATGGATTTTATCAAAAGGATTAATCATAGGATTAATAACAAGCATAACAGTAAAGAAAGGTAGTTTTACCATTGTTTATTTGTAACCAGTTGTAGAATGAAAATTTAAAATATATAAGCCTACAGAAAACTAATCCTATTCTTATTAAAGGTACTAATATTGGTGATTATGGCACAAGCATTTTCTTAAAACTTTCGTAATTAACTAGAACTTTTAAAAATTTCACATCTAGAATATTATACATAGTACTGGTTATGAAAATCAAAAAAACATAATTGAGCTGGAGACAATTCAAACAAGATACACAAAGCTTAAAGGAATCAGTAGCTCCCTACACACATTAGGACTCTTTAGTTGCAATTATAAAGGCTTAAAGGACATATGATCAAAATCTACAGACCACAAAAGATACAGATGAGATAAACACAGGCTTACTTAGCAAATTTTAATTTACTAGAATTAGGGGGAATGCCTTGACACTTCAAAGAATTACATCAAGGGCAATAAAAGTGTTCCTTTATCTAGTAACTTTGTGGGAGTTATTAATCCAAGACTAAAGAGGCTTAGAAAGGTAAATAACTATCAGATCCATAAGAATTAGTAAGAGTAAAAAGACATCTGAGGGGCTGAGGGATGTGTTTCTGTCCATTGACTTTAATGGTGTTAACTGGCATCACAGTTTCCTTACATATCTCTTGGTGGCATAACTAGAGACAGAATATTAGGATGGATGGATGATGGATACGATTTAGTGTAACTCTCATGCTTTTATTTCAAATTAAGACTTTGTATTTAAAGTATTTGAATACTAAATATCTAAGAATTTAGAGACTTAAGATTTTAATGCTTTTAGGGGCGCCTGGGTGGCGCAGTCGGTTAAG